TTATCAAGAGTCACTCTGAAGAGACTCGTGTGTAATAACAAGAGACACTTAGATAAATATTTATTTCTTAACTAAGTTATGAATGAAATATCATTGACTTCGAATAGAATAGCCAGTTGGAGACATATTGATAACATTTAATGTTTATTATGTGAAGAAGTCCAATAAAAGTATAGTTATATCTCTTCATATGAATCTTTTCAAGTTTGGAGAATTGTGTATACCAATAAGATATCACTCGTTAGAATAGGAACCAATAACATATTCTTAAGGGGACATTATCAAATGGGTAAATCACATAAATATGTTATATAGAAAAAATATTTTATCATTCGACAATATAATTTTTCTTACTAGATATAACAGTTTCTTAAATTAAGGTATTGTCGCTTGCATCTTTCTCGGCCGTTTTTTCTCTTCCTTTTTTTTTTAATTCTTCTTCTTCATCTTTATTTCTCTGTCATTATTATCTTCCTATTCTTCTTTTCTTTTCTTTTTTTTTTTAAAAAAGGAAAAAGGGTCTGATATATCCCTCAACTTTGTCATTTGGAGCTGATACACCCCTCGTTATAAAAGTGGCTCATATATACCCTTACCGTTATACAAACGGCTCACATATACCCTGCCGTTACAAAATGGCTCACATATACCCTTCATTTAACGGAATTTTAAATAATAAGTTTTAAATTTATATTTATTGCTTATAATTTTTTTAAAAAAATTATTTAGTGGTATATATAATTCTTCTATAAAAGTTCAAGGTATATTTTAATTTTTTCCATACATAAATTATTTTCTGACTTCTTTTATTATAATTATTTGTGTTTCTTGTTCTTATTTTATTTTTTTCTTTCATTCCTTAGTTTAAAGAGAAAAAAAACTAAACTATATTTTTGGGTGTATTGTAACTTAATTTTGTATTCGAAAATTTTTTTGGTCATCTACAATAAGTCTTACAAGAATATTAGTGAAACATAAATGAATATGATTATCAAAATAATAATTATAAATTATTCATTGAAACAAAAAAAATCAAAAAAAATATGTTTGACGGGGATTAAATTTACTCATATGGGATTATATTTTTTAGAAAAAAATAAAAATTTAGATTGAAAATTATTATTTTTTCATTTCCGTTAGAAGAAAAGGGTATATGTGAGCCATTTGTTTACAAGTAGGGGTATATATGAGACATTTTCATAACAAGTGGTATATCAGCTTTAAATGACAAAGTTGAGGGATATATCAGACCCTTTTCCCTTAAAAAAAATTATTCTTTCAAAATTTTCATTTAAATATATCAGACCCTTTTCCCTTAAAAATAATTATTCTTTCAAAATTTTCATTTAAATAACAAGTTAATTTTTCAAATTTTATTATTTTTACCTAAAAAATACGACCAAAAAATGGAAAGAAGAAAATTTGTACAAATCATGTTTAAAGCATAAATTTGAAATCTCTAAAATTACAACAAGAAGAGTTTACCATTGATGGTCATTAAAAAACTTCAAATTTTAAATTCATTATTTGAATTTTACGAATTTGTGATTAGTTTGGATAGGTTGTTCCTACAAATCACTCAAAATGTTGTTTGAAATTTATATCTTTATTTCAAGAGGGTTTGGTTAAGTTTATAATTGATTTTAGGAGAAATATTAGATTGAACTCGAAAAAGTGAAGTTTATGAAACTACATCGCAATTGTATTAAAATTGTATTAGATACGTTTCATAATTACATTAAAATTGTATTAAAATCATGAACAATACATTTATATTACATATTACAAACTTCACTCTTTTTAATGATATCAACCAAAAGAATTTAAGCAACAGACTATTAATACATTAATAATATAGGAACAATACATTTGTAATACAAATGTCGCTCTTTTTCTTAGTGATACAAATCAAAATAATATATAAGATATATATATATAATACATGTTTTGTTTATGAATAGTACATTTATAGTATATATTGCACGCTAGATTCACTCTTTTCTTAGTGATACCAACAAGAATAAATTAGGCAACACACTAGTATAATAATACATGTATAAGACATCCACATTCCATTTTAATACATATCGCAATTGTCACTAATTTTCTTAGTGATAAATTAAAATATTTTATAAGACACATATAATATAAGTTTTATTCATGAGCAATCCATTTATAATACATAATGCAACCATCACTCATTTTCCTAGTGATATGAATCAAATAATTTACAAGATACGTATAATATAATGTTTATTTATGAAAATACATTTCTAATACATATTGCAAACTCTACTCTCTTCTTAGTGATACTAACCAAATGATTAATACACGAACACTACATTTTTCATACATATTTCAAACATCACTCATGTTCTTAGTAATGCAAACCAAAAAAATTTATAAGATACATGCTTTATTTATGAATAATACAAATTTAATTCAGTCTATAACTTATTGTCTTGTCTTTAATTAGTGACGCTTTTTTTTAATATAATTTTCTCTTTTAATTAAACTTTAATATTGTGTAATACAGTTTAATGCAAATTGAATTTATTTGGAGTTTATTATGTGTTGCTATTAGATTACTTGTGTAATTCATTGTTGATATGAATTTAATTTTCTATATAGGTCATTGCCTGGTGTTTCCTTAGTTACATTTTTTAGCCATATTTAATTTTCTATGCTAATTCAACTTTAATATTTGTATAATATATTTTTAATATAAGTTAATTCATTTAGAGTTTATTAGTTGTTTTTTTATGATTTAATTATTTGTTTAATTCATTATTGATACAAGTTTTATTCATGCTCTTTCGTTTGCTAAATTTTGCATACATGTTTAATTCACTTTTTTTTCAAACTTTAATATGTGTGTAATGCATTTTTAATCCAAGTTTAATTCATTTGACAGTTTCTTATGTTTCTTGATTTGTTACGATTAGATTACTTGTCTGCTCTTTAGTTTGGATAGGTTGTTCCTACAAATAATTGAAAATATCTTTTGGAGTTAATATCTCAATTTTAAGAGAGTTTTGTTTAGTTTAGAATTGATTTTAACCGAACTATATCGCGTTTGTATTAAAGTTGTATTAGATATATTTCACAATTATATTAAAACCATGAATAATACATCCTACATTTATTGCAAACTTCACTCCCTTTTTTTAATGATTTAAACAAAAGTAATTTAGGTAACACACTTATAATACATGCACAATACATTTTTAATACATATTGCAAACAACACTCATGTTCTTAGTGATACAAACCAAAAATAATTTATAAGACACATATGATACATGTTTTATTCATGAATAATATAAGTTTAATTCAGTTTAGATATCGTTGTCTTGTTTTTCATTAGTTCCGTTTTTCATTCGTTCTTAATTCTCTCTTCTAATTCAACTTTAATATTGTGTAATTCATATGCTTAAAGTAAATTGAATTCATTTATTTGTTTGATATTGGTGTAATACACTTTTAAATACTATTTTGATTGATTTTATAATTTAATAGTTGATTTTTTTATGTTTAATTACTTGTGAAATCTATTGTTATACAAATTCATTCAGTTATTCAGTTTACAGATCATATAATATTTTTTTGTTTGCTACATTTTACATTCATATTAATTTTCACCTACTTCAATTTTAATATGTGAGAAATACATTTTTAATTCAAGTTCAACTCATTTTGCAATTTATTATGTCTCTTTATTTGTTACGATTATATTACTTGTCTATTTAATTAATTATTGATAAAAATTTAATGAGTCTACGAATTATTGACTACACTACGAGAGAGAAGTAGAAAAAAACAAGAGAAAGAGAGGGAGAAAGTGCAACAAGTCTGGAAAAAAAAACAATAGAAAGAAAGAGAGGAAAGTCATTTGCAAAAAGAAAATAGGAGAAAATAACAATATAAAGAAAAAAGGGAGAGAGAGAGAAAAATAAAAAAGGCGAGATAGAAGAGGAGAAAGAGGCAAAAGAGAGACAAATTTAATAAAATATATCTTATTGTTATATATTGCTGTAAATGATAATATTTAAACAGTATATTTAAAATCAGTAATTATTTTTTTAAAAGGATCCACTCAAGTAATTTTTCCTTATCAATTGGTGAATTTTATATATTATTTTCGGCCAAAAAATATACTATATATGGCCAGAAAAGAACATAAAAAAATTCATAACTAATGATAAAGAATGGATTAATCAAATAGTTAATCATAAATAATAATAATGCTAAAAATATTTGATAAAGTATCAAGAGAATTTTAGAACATAAAATTTGCAATAATCTTGAATTGTCAAAAAGAGAATATTGTATTTTTCATCGAGAATTAAAAAAAGATGATATAAAAGGTATGCAGAAATGTGTGTGAACACAGAAAAATTTTTCTTTTGAAATTGAGGAGAATAAAACAAAGGGAGATAGAAAAAGAAAAACAAATGTGAACGAACACATAAAATGTTGAAGAATTTAACTCATAAATAAATTCCAAAATCTAAAAACATTACAATTCGAATTCATCTCCATCTGTTATGTAGAACTCCATTTCAAAACTGTTTCTCAAATATCTACAAAACTCTATTTTAAAACATAGCAAATTGAAATAAATTACAAATCAATAATCTGTGTGAACACACAAATGATTTTCTACATATGTGAACGAACACATAGAACGTTAAAAAATTTAACCCATAAATAAAGTCCAAAATCTAAAAACGTTACAATTGAAATTCATCTCCATCTGTCATATAGAACTCCATTTTAATATTGTTTCACAATTATCTATAAAACTCTATTTTAAAACATAGCAAATTGAAATAAATTATAAATCATTAATGTGTGTGAACACACAAATATTTTTGTCTTTTATAACGACAAAAAATACAGGAGATAAAGGTGAAAATAAATAAATATAAACACGCAATATCAAAATATTCAAGCAAATATATTAAAAAAGTTTGGACTGTAGTGATTGGATCAAATTACTCATTTTAGTTAATTAAAGGTTAAATATGTTTAGCCGGTTATTATAGGGACCAAATTTGCAATAAACTTATAACTTAGGGATTAAAACCATCATTTTTTCTTAGTTATTTTCCTCTTTTGGGTATATATAAGAGAGCTACACAACTGTATTCAGTCATCTTCTATTTCTCTCAATCTAAGAGCATTGAAATTATCGCTCAGAAAAACAATAACAATGGCAAGTCACTCTGACCCGGTGGCAGCCAATGCAGAGGTGGCGGCGGCGGTGAATGCAGAGGAGGAGGTGGCGGAGGCGACTGCTCAGCCGATTGTGAACGCGAACGATTATCTCCTTCAGCAGCAGTTGCGGTTGTTTTGGGCAGCTCAGCTTCAAGAGATCATACAGATAAGAGATTTCAGGGGCCACAGTCTTCCCATTTCTCGAATCAAGAAAATCATGAAATCGGACAAGGAAGTCCGTATGATTTCTGCTGAATCGCCTATTCTGCTTGCTAAGGCATGTGAGCTCTTTATTCAGGAGCTCACCCATCGTTCCTGGCTTAAGGCCCAAGAATGTCAGCGTCAGACTCTAAAAAAGATTGACTTATTTACGGTGCTTAAGGAGACTGAACTCTTTGATTTCCTTGTGGATGTCATTTCTATGGATGAGCCAGAGGAAGAAGCTCCTACTTACGTGCCTGGCATGTTGGGTAATATACCAAATCGTATCTCGTACTATTACTCACCAATGGGACCTCCTGCTCCACCAATGGCACCTCTTGCTCCATCAGTGAGACCTCCTGCTCCATCAATGGGGCCACCTGCTCCATCAATGCCTACTTCACCCAGGGGGATCATGGGAAGGCGTGCTATGCCTTGGGTTGCACCATCAATGCACGTCCCGCCTCCGTTGTACCCGCGGAAGTTCGGTTGGTATGCTGCTGGCGGTAATCCATATGCTACTGGAGGGAGCAGTGGACAGGGTAGCGGTGATCCTCAAAGGTAACTTTGTCATTTCCTTAATTCACTAAGAGGGTTAGAAGAAAATGAATCATTTTTTCAAGTAAAAATTTATTTTTTCCATTTTTGTTGAAGGTGGTAACTTCTTCTTTTTTTCAAAAAAAAAAATTCTTTCTCACAAGAGACAAAGGGAACGTTTCCCCATGAATGGTTTGTCTCCATGAAAAAAGCTTCCACACATGGGGTCTGTAACTGCAATTTTTTTGGTCTTTGCTTTACTTTCACTCTATCAGATAGTAGCTACAAACATTTTTGCATTGTATATGTTTGCCTTCTTGCATTTAGGGAAATCTTAACTAAATTTGAGTAAAGTACTTATAAAATTTTGTGCTTTCTCTCTTTACTTGTAAAAACAATTTTTTTCTGCACTCTCTCATTGATGTTGCAACATGTAGATAGGAGTTACAGGTACAGTCTAAAATTTCATCAATCGCCTCATCTATATATTGCATCAGAGGAGAAAATGATTTGGCATATCTTATTTTTGTGGTATCTGAATTTAGAGCAGTAGATTGATGTGCTTTCCACATGATTGTTTGTGTTGAAGCTGGTACCTTTTTATTGTTTTTTAAAAAATACTTTCTCAGAAGCAACCAAGGGAACATTTCCCCATGAGTGGTTTGTCTCCATGGAAAAAAGCTTCCACCCATGGGGTCTGTAACTGCATCTTTTTGGTCTTTGTTTTACTTTCACTCTATCAGATCGTAGCTACAAATATTTTTGTATTGTATATGTTTGTCTTCTTGCATTTAGGGAAATCTTAACTAAATTTGAGTAAAGTACTTGTAAAATTTTGTGCTTTCTTTCTTTTCTTGTAAAAATAATTTTTTTCTGCACTCTCTCATTGATGTTGCAACATGGAGATAGGAGTTAAAGGTACAGTCTAAACTTTCATCAATCACCTCTTCTATATATTGCATCAGTAGAGAAAATGATTTGGCGTATCTTTATTTTGTGGTATATGAATTTAGTGCAGTAGATTGATATGCTTTCCACATGATTGTTTGTGTTGAAGCTGGTACCTTTTTATTTTATTTTTAAAAAATACTTTCTGAGAAGCAACCAATGGAACGTTTCCCCATGAGTGGTTTGTCTCCATGGAAAAATGTTTCCACCCATGGGGTTTGTAACTGCAATTTTGTTGTTCTTTATTTTACTTACACTCTATCAGATAATAGCTACAAACATTTTTACATTTTTATATTTTTGCCTTCTTGCGTTTAGGGAAATCTTAAGTAAATTTGACTAAAGTACTTGTATAATTTTGTGCATTCTCTCATTACTTTTAAAAAATAATTTTTTTCTGCACTCTCTCATTGATATTGCAACATGGAGATTGGAGTTACAGGTCCAGTCTAAACTTTCATCAATCACCTCTTCTATATATTGCATCAGTGTAGAAAATGATTTGGAGTATCTTGATTTTGTGGTATCTGAATTTGAAGCAAAAGATTGATATGCTTTCCACATGATTGTTTCATTTCTCTATACTATAAAGGAGTTCATGATTGGTTCTCTTAATGGGATTTTACAAGTTTTCTCATAGTGGTAACTGTTAATGCCTTATTGGTGTTGATGCTAAGATGGAGCCAAAGCATATGTATCAATTTTCTTACCTATGCAATGATTATATATGCATGCATACCTGGGATATGCCATCCATTACCGTTATCTATTACCCTGAGAAACAATTGATATCAAATGTCTTTATCGGTGCTGCGATGTACACCATTGGTTGAGAGTACGTCTTATAGGAAAGTAAATCTAGAGCACGTTCGAAGAACTGGAATAGTTATATTTGGTTAGTTATAACCATTTTTTCTCCTTTTCTGTCGTTTGTGTGAATGACAAGAAAGAGAAATCAGGACGGTGGTACCAGATGTTTGCAACTTTGCATGAGTAGTTAGTGTGTCAACGAACTGGCTGGTTGGTGTTCATCTTATGATATTTGTCATGTGTCATGCTTGTGCTCATTAATTTGAAAGTTCATGTACGACATTTTATTATTTGATAAAGAAAATGCATGAGGAAATCTGATGTAGATTGTTTATAGTCTAGCTAGTTTATAGTGACTTTGTCGCCATCCTTGTGCTTTCTTTCATGTTATTTCACTCATTTGTTGCATGCCTTGATTTGCTTGATATGATGTTGGCATGTTAGACTTAATAAAAAATTGTTGGCATCTTAGCTCTTAGGTAACATGATTTCTATGGTCAAATATGTAGTATCTAAAAAAAGTTCTTACTCCATAGTTATCTATTGATTAGCTGTAGTTTCTTGATGTTGTTGTAATTGCGAGATTAAGCAACTAATTTATCTATTTATTATTTGTTTGTTGTTGTTTCTTAATATGATTCTATTTGAGGTGCAAGTCACTAATTTCTCATTCATATGGTTCGATTTATTAATTATTTGTACTAATTTTTCTGTTCGATCTAGTTGCAGTTAAAGGTCATGCCTCTTTTGATCCAAATGCTCAGTGGCACTGGCACAACGGAAGCTCTTAGTCACTAGTGATGCAGGTCCACTCAACTATGGATGCTTCTTATTGCTATTGTATATGGGTATTGGCTCAACAATATGACATGAATCTTTTAGTCGTTTAGTCGGTATAAAACTGTCTAGTTTATTTGAATGCTTATGGAGTTGTGGTGTTTAGTGTAATGAACTTATCTTACTTTCGCATAATAATTGTGGTATGTTACTTTAATCAGTTCTCCGTCGACCCTTTAGTATTTTGACTATTGCTCCTTGCTATAGTGGTATGATGGAGCCACCAAGGCTTATTGGTTATAGGATGATTAGTAAGCCTAGTGGGGCAATTTGGCGTAGTGGTCATTGATGTAGTTGCGGAACTTACTGACTTGCGTGTCTATGATTTCGTCATTTATGCTATCTCAACTTAACTAAATTAGCATAATTTTTTTTTTGTAAATCTTGGATGGCACAACTAGTCTAATTTGTCAGATTAAAATCTCATTGACATAGATAAATCACTGAACCATAAACATGAATGCACTCATATAAATACCACTAGCTTCAAACTCAAAACTTTGATGAGTTTTCTGTTGTTATAACTATGATAAACTCAAAAAGAGGGGAGGTTTGGGTTATGACCCGTTGTTTGACCTATCTTGATCCAAATAAACTTTGGTTTGGTTGGCTGTTGACCTAATAATTACTTTGACCCATTTTTATCCACCTGAATTTGATCCAATCTGCCCATTTGCCACCCCTACAATCATCTTTAGTTCTTACTCACGTGTCATGATCTCTATTTAAGGTACATTGTTGATTTTTATTTTATTTTTTGATGAAAAACTCAAGAGATAGTAACTGTAACATTAAGCAGTGTAGGAGGTTTTCCAAAGGACTATATTTTGCTAATCATGTGATCATACATATGGAAAGGACCAGATAAAAACAAGAAGTTGTAACTTAAAGAGTTTTGAGTTCAACTTCTAATTATCGGACAGCATTTGAGTGAAAAAGTGATTTTCACTCTGATACAAGACAATGTTCCTTCTAGTTTAGGTAAATCAGATGAAACAAGTCAGATTTCATGTTATTTTCAGCAGAATTGTAGTCTTAGACTTTGTGCAGAAGCATGAGTAACACAATTCTGTATTCAACAATAGCAACGACATGGCTAAATCATTTTCATCATTCAATAAAACTTTACAACCTATTCTGAATAAACATCTCAGAGCTAACTTCATTGTCACTGTGTTAGTTGAAAAGGTAAAGGTAAATGAAACC